ATATATATACATACATATATATATACATATATTTATATATATATAAAAAATCATACCTTGAACTGCTGTAAGAATGATGGACATGAATCAAGAGAACATCTTTCTCCTGTTTCTGCCCGAAAGATGTCAGTTTTTAGGCCCAACAAAGGACGTCGCCTTGCCCCCTTTTGAGCCCCGCTTGGAGGCCCAATCCCTCTTTTTCGGCTTATGGTGGACCTCGACGCGGCCTTTTGTCGTGATCGTCTCATCTTCCCCGTTCGCGGGTGCTCAATTGCTTTTAATCGGAGGTTCTCTGTGTGTTAGGAGCACTTCTTTTCGATCATGGTGAAGAGCATGGATGGCAGCTTCCTGTTCACACCCCTTCAGGTACCCTCCCCTCTTCTTCCTGCACTTCCTTTCTTTCCCTTTTGGTTTTGACCCTGCCCCATACTTGAACATAAGAAAGTGCTCTGCAGTACTCTCAGATTAGAGATTTAAGAATATTATTTCTGGACAAAAGAAGAAACCGATAGTTCAGTAGTGTTCATCAGCGCCCGCAGATGAAATTAGATGTAAGAAATTTAAGTTTTAGTAATTATCATTTCCAATCCAAACATTCTATGTAAGTGAGAAGATTGAAGTAAGAGGCTAGAAGTAATGAAATACAAAACAACAGGAAAATGAGACATTCTCTGAGGCAAGATTTTGTAATGAAACAAAATAATCTTTTGTCATAAATAGGTAAAGTAGACATGATCATAACAGTCAACAAAGAGAGCACAAGAATCATTCCTATGAAATCATTTTAAAGAGAATTAACTTTCACACACAAGAAAGACTGAAACATTTGACCCTTACCTCAGCAAAATGCTCCTCCAAGGTAATACAATAATATATGAGCCTTGTATGTGATCTCAAATGGTCACTAGTTGAAGCCACTTTAAACAAAAGGTTTGCCTTTCTAACCTGTCGTTTTATCTAATGTTGCACTTCAATTTTGCATTCGCATTTTGATCATCAGGGGTGATATTAGTAAAATGAGTTGCTTAGCATAACTGCAATGAGTTTTGGCTGTTTATCTCGACCACCATCTGAATTTTAGTCAGTTGTTTCAATCTGACCAGCATTGTGGAACTACTTGATTTAGCAATTTATGTTCAGTCAGAAGCTACAGAGAAAATCACTTTTCTCGCAAGATGACTTATCTTAGACGCTTGATTAGTGAGAGCCTTGAGTGCTGGGCTGTTCTTTTTCTATCCTGCCGGAACATTTCATGTGCCTTGTTCCTTACTAATCATTATCTTTATGAATTTCACAGGTTCATATTTATAATACATGTTAAACAAGTTTTTATTTGTGGATGTGGGGATCAATCAAAGATATTACTTTGACAGATGGTTATTGCAATTAGTCAGTTGGTAACAATTATAATTATCTGTTTCTGCGAAGGTATCTCTTGGTGACTCTGGTAGCATATTTACTGTTTAATTTGCTGAAGCTTGTTAACTATATGTTTTACAAACTCCATGAAACTAATCACATAAGTGTGGAAGTCATCAAAGGACATTTTAAGATGATAATGGCAAAATTATTTGTATTTTGGGTTGAGCACAAATGGCATGATAATGGAATCAGACAACAAATTAATGATGAGCATAAAGGAAGTGTTGAATCTCGGATTTTGATGATGAAACAAATTGATAATTATTTATGTTTTAACCTACGTTTTGAGTGACGCAGGATGCTTCGATTAGTATGAGACAATTAAAGCAGGAAGAATCATGTTGTGCCGGCGGAAAACATGTCAGAAGATTGGACGTCGAGCCGGAGGATCGGTCGATGTATCGATAGAAGGCTTTGGGCCATGGATTCGGGCATAGGGCCAAGAAGAGCGGATATTGGGTCAAGGATATTGGAGTTGCGGAGTCAACTGACCGATTGGGTAATAGGCCACAAGAGAGGACGATGTGCCGAAGAATCGGACGAAGCGTCGAGGGACCAATGACATGCCGGACAATATGATTAATGCTTAGTATTAATTGTCTAGATCGAAGTGTATTTTACATGTGCAGGATTAACTACGATACTAAGGCATGTAGCAAAATGAAGTCCCGGAGTTAAAGACATGATTTCGTTGGGAGTTCGAGAGTTCGTCGGAAGTCCGGACGTTCGTCGGAAGTCCGGACGTTCGTCGGAAGTCCGGACGTTCGTCGGAAGTTCTGGCGGAACCAGCCGAGAAGTCTCGGAGCTTGCCAGAGAAGCTCGTTGGAACTCGCCAAGAAGATCGACGTGAAGTCCAGGAGCTTGCCGGGAGTCCGTCGGAACAGTGCCGAGAGATCGTCAGAAGATCGCCGGAAGCTCGCCGAAAGAAACCAAGACATAAGGACTTATTTAGCTTAGCAAATGTCTTAGGAATCGTAGTTAGCACGTAATTGGGTTTGAATTTGGGCCAACCTAATTAGGGGTCAACTAGGCCCATATAAGGACTGTGTTGAGCCCAATAAGAGGCCCAAACAGTACCCCAAGAAGTCTCACCGTCGTGGCACAGTCTTCGAGACTGTGTCAGGCGATGGTACCGCCAGTCTGGGCGGTTGTACCACCCTTGGCAGGGTGCCAAGCGGTAGTACCACCCAGCATTACCCCCTAGGCGGTGGTACCGCCAGACCTGGACGGTGGTACCACCCAAGGTAGTGTCAGTGTCAGACTGACACTAGGCGGTGATACCGCCCAACGCAGCCTGTGATACCGCCCGTGCCCGGGAAACCAAGGATGGGAAAGTTTTAGGCTTCAAGTTTGAATCAACTTGAAGCCTATAAATACCACTCTCATCCCTGTTTAATAAATACAAGCACAGAGTATTCAAAAGTGAGAAAATGCTACTGCAATCTCTTGAGAAACCCCTCCAAGTTTGAATCAACTTGAAGCCTATAAATACCCCTCCATTCTAAGTTTAGAATTCTATAAGAGGAGCGTGAGTGCTTGTAAGGGTTGTCTTCTAAACCCGTGAAAAGGAGAAGAGGGGTGTAAAAGGTGGTTGGTCTTCGCCTATTGAAGGAAGACCTCTAGTCGATGCCGGTGACCTCGTCGGAGGAGGAAGCCGAAAGTGGATGTAGGTCACGTTGACCGAACCACTCTAAAATCTGGTTTGCATTTCTATTGTTGCCATTTACATACTGTAAACTACTTTACTTAGTCACTACGCTTCCATACACTTTTAAGTTAAGTTTCCAAAATTGTTTTTAACGTAAACATATTTTATCGTACGAAAGTTTTTGAAGACGTGATTTTTTCGCTGCACTAATTCACCCCTCCAGTGCCGACCCCATTTCTAAAAATTAGTATCAGAGCCTCGTTATTTCTCAGTTGGTTTAACACCCAAGAAAAATGACTCTTTTCGGCTTTCAAGATGGTCACTCTCTCATTCGTCCTCCCTTTTTCAATGGGACGGACTACACTTATTGGAAAACTCGAATGAGAGTTTTCTTACTTTTATTAAATCTCGATTTATGGCACATAGTCGAATTTGATTTTCAAATGTCTTCTCTTCCAATAAACCATTGGAATGATTTGGAGAAGAATACATTTTCTTTAAATGCAAAGGCTATGAATGCCTTATTTTGCGCCTTAGACAAAAACGAGTTTAATCGAGTTGTACAAAACGACTTTCGACATTTAGCATATTCTTGAAACCACATACGAAGGCACGAATATAGTTAAAGATTCTAAGATTAACCTTTTAATGCATGATTTTAAATTTTTCATATGAAACCAAGCGAAATACGACACTGTAGCGGCGGCCAGATCTA